ATCCGACAAGCTATGTTATTCATCCACCGGCACCGCCTCCTCACGCAGGAGCTGCCGTGCCGCCAGGTCATCCGCATCAGCATCCGCATCCTCAAAGTCTGCCAGATGCGTCGTTCTCTTCCGGTCAAGGTATGTATACATTATGTTTACATATCTTAACCTTAATTGATGACATACACAAAAACATATTATTTCTACTTTAATTTTACTACTTTACTAATTTACTCATTTTTATTATAAAAAGTAATACAAAAACGAAATGTAAATCTGTTACGTTCTATTTCAGTTTCCGAATTGTATTCATCTCATGCATCAGTGACTCATCAATTGGAACCAGCGACACGACTATCATCGACCGTTGGATCGACTTCGACTTATAGCTTCCCGGCCACAGTTACTTATCCCAATCTATCCGTATCGTCCAGCTATCAGCAAACAAGTAATCAACAACTACCGCCGACTGCGAACTCTCTCGTCACCATGATGGGATCGAATTCAGGCAATTCGACATCTGCTCCCGATCAATTGGCTTCGTCGGAACTCCCTATCAGCTCGGTTTCACCTCCTCAACAGCAGCAGCAGCAACAACAACAACAACAGCAACAGCAAACGCAACAGACTAACCAAGGAGCTACATCGCCATCATGGAATCTTGCAATAACTGCTAGCGGTAGTAGAGTCAATCTATCAAGTCCTCCAACAAGTCTACAACAATCTCATGTCTATAGCGCACACCCTCATCAAGCTCATTTTGCTAGCCCTTATACTGTGCAGAGCTTTCAACAACCACCTAGGCCAGCGCCACAGACCTTCTGGTATTAAAGTATGAAATAGTTAAAATAAAGAGCATAAAACACTTCTTTTTTGTGAAGAAAAAATTTTTAATCGTTATTATTGTATCGTTAGTTAATATTCAAAGGAGACTGTTTACATTAGAGATTGTTTCTCTTATTTTTATTTTTGCAATGAAAATTCATTTTTATGTAAAAATAAAAATAAGAGAAACAATTTCCAGTGACCTTGATATTAACGAATGTTATTCAGAACATAATCCTAAACAACATTTAAGACGTTTTAGCCGTCAATCGGATTTGCGTAATGTCGGCGGTACTGTAACCTTCAAGCCTTATAACTCGAAAAGTACTTCATGAAAAAATATTTTATTATAGTATTTTGGAAAGTTCTCGAGGTGTGCTACAAGAATATGCAATAAACAATGGGTAGTTCTACTAAAAAAATTTATGTTGACCTTGACCTGATCTTGGTAGTGCCCCCTATCTGTTATTTCCATCTTATTTTCCTCAAGAAAACCTTAATTTTCATATAAAACTTTTCTCTTTCTTAGTTTTTGAAATATTCGCTTAGGGCGATTAAAATGCCCTACCCTGTATACAAACTATATATATAAATTGCCGTGTCCTAATATAAAGAAAAAAAATGCGTGATATCAGTACAAATTTATCTTTTTAAAAAAGATAAACAAAAGCACTAAGAGTATATGCTCCGTAAAAAAAGACTATTTTACCAAATCATAAAACCCAAGTGATACTATCTTTATTATACTAAATAAAAAGTAAAACCCAAATATGCGGTACTATTTCTATTACCCAAGTAATTCAAAACCCAAGTATTATTTTTATTATTTATTTAACTCTAATAATATATATCGTATGTATAAAATTGAATTGCTATCAACAATTAGCACCAAGTTAAATCCTATAAAAAATCCCAAAAATTAAATGGATAATACTAATTATAATAATATGTATCTTTCGTATAAAAAATTTGATACCAACAACCGGCGCCAAGTTAAATTCCGTACCAACCATACCAAATTAAATAAAGAATATAATTCAAGTAGTATTATGTATCTTTAACTTTTTTTGTACAATGAAACCTAAAATATTGAGTCATTTAAAAAATATCCGCGGTTTTTTCATTCAAAAATTGAACAAAAAACCGCGGATACTTTTTAAATGACCTAATATATATCTTTGTATTCCTATTGAAGGATCGTGTTATTCCGATAAAGACTTTAACTGTTACTTATATGAAACTTTTATATCGCAATTTATTCAAAAATATTTTCCTTTCAAAGTAGTTATTTAGTTCTCTTTCAAAACATTATTCAGACAAAATTGCGTTATCTTGTCCATTCAAGTGTAACCATAAAAAATTAAAAAGTAAATACTTGGCGCTGCTAGATCGAATAAGAAAAAAATTATAAAAACAATTAAAAAATGTTAATAATAGTTAATAAAAATAAATAATAAAAGACAATTACAATTTTAATGTAATAATGAATTTAATCTTAATATTTTTTTTATTAAATAAAAATTAATTTACTGTTTATTTCTTTTTTCTTTTTCGTAACGCATGTCTTACAAATTTAGGTACAAATTTATTTGTTATAGATTTAAATCTAGTAGTTTGCACAACTTTCATAACTTATACGACTGTATAACTTAATCACATATATGTATATATCTACGTGATGGATACTTTTATCCTCATGGAAATGTTTCTTATTTTTTTATTCTAAATATTATATTCATGTTTTTAGTACTATGTATATGTCATCTAACAGCGCCAAGTGTTTATTTTTTTAATTTTTTTGGTCATACTTGAATGGACAAGGTAATGCAATTTTGTCATAATATTTTGAATAATGTTTTGAAGGAGAATTAAGTAACTATCAGTTTGGTTGGAAAGGAAAATGTCTTTGAATGAATTGTGATATAAAAATTTCACATAAAAACAATTAATGTTATTTGAATCAGAATAAAAAAATGCTTGAATAGGAATACAAAGATATATATTTAAGTTTTATTGCACAAAAGTTAAAGATAATATCATTTAAATTATATTCTTTATTTTATTTAGTATGGTTGGTATGGGATTTAACTTGGTCAGTTGTTGATATCAAATCTTTTATACACGAATAATACATGTCATTAGAATTAGTATTATTTATTTAATTTAGTATCATTTATAAAAAAGATTTGATATCAACAATTGACGCCAAATTAAATACAGAATTTAACTTGGCGCCCTTTGTTGATATCAAATCTTTATTACGGATACATAAAATTTTGTAGAATTTAACTTAGTGCCAGTTATTAATATCAAATATTTTATACAAATGATACATATAATTAGAATTAAGTAAATAAAAAAGGTAGTACCATTTGGGTTTTACTTTTTAATTTGATAGAATTTAAGGTTAGTTAAGACTATCATTTAAGTTTTAATTTTTGATATGTACAATAATTTTTTCAAGGAATAATAATTATTGACAGAGAATTAAAGCTGCCATTACTTGGATTGGAATAAGAGCACCTTCAATAAAAATATTTTTGAAGAATAATTAAAACTACTACTACTTGAGTTGGAATAATAAAAAGATATGTAACATAACCACTTAGGTTCTATTCGAGAAGCACATATATTCTTAGCGCCTTTTTTAAAAAGATAATCTTTTATATGAATGATATATAAAATTTTGTGGAATTTAACTTGGCGCCAATTGTTATAACATCAAATTTTTTGTACGAATAATACATATCATATTAAAATGACAAAGATAATATCATTTAGGTTTTACTTTTGATATGTATCGTGGTTAATTATGACTATATTATTTGGATTTTAATTTTTAATTTGTTATAATAGCTTTTTTGAGAATAATTTTTGACAGAAAATTAAAGCTGCCATTCTTTAATAAGAAATAAGAAATAAGAATAAGAATCTTTAATAAGAATATATATACAGAAGAATTAGAACTAATGTTACTTGAGTTGGAATAATAAAAAGATACATAACATAAATCACTTAGGTTCTATTTAAGAAGCACGTATATTTTTAACGTCTTTTTTAATCTTTTTTTAAAAAGATAAATCTGTACTGAGGTCACATATTTTGTATTAATAAATACTATTATACAATTTCGTTTGTATCTGATTTCCTTTAGCTAAATATTAAGTTATAAAATGGAGATCAAGATCGAATAGATTATTATCTTCTAACTTAATTAACAAATAGAGTAAAAGCACTAGATGTGAATCAAGCACTAGTTCCGGATCATTTTTTTATATTTAAATAATTATAGTAATTTTTATTAAATGGAACATATCACAAGATTCTTTAGCATTTTTTTTATCTCTTTTAAATGTCAATCGAATTTAATTTATTAGATACAGCGCCACACATTTTGTTGATGTAACTAATTAAATGTGCGAGGTTAATTACGTATGTATTTTTAAAAATTCATTCAAAGTGTAACATTATAAAAATTGTCTTATGGCTTTTATAGCAGGTATAGTAAATAATATTAGATTTCATAGAAAGAAATCAACGTTATGCTCAGTTCAGATTAAATATATACACGAGTGCTGTTTAATCACCACCTTATAACGATACTTTTGTCTCAATGCGTTAAGATTATCATAATCGGCAAATGAAAACTGACCCAGAGTGCTGAATTTATATTCGAATCAACCGAATGAACTGAACGAGTTCAAGAAATGTTGCATTGACGTTTCTGATAGTGCAATTTGACATAGCACTAAAGTTCTGAGCATATCAGGGCAGTACTAAAGCAGAGTCAGTGCACATGTGTGAATTCGCCATAAATAATAAGAATTGAAGCGCGACATAGAGCACGCAAGTTAAAACTTCAGTCTGAAGCTAGCACAGTCATGGATTTTAGTGAATGGACTGAAATAAAAATTAAACGTTTAGCAATAAAAAATGGTTAAATTATGTATAATATATTTTTTGCATATAGATATGTTTTTATATTCTATTTTTATACTTAAAACAAATAAATATTTCGAGATGACATTATTTGTAAGATTTAACAAGATTTTAAATATTTTTATAACAAATTTACACAATAAAAGTATCATTATAAGATAATGATTAAACGACAAGCCGAATGCATGGCATTCGCACTCAATGCGCACTAGTGTGGTTTATGAATTCATTATTACTAAACTTACTTTTTATCCTTCTTTTCTCCATTACGTTGTATGCCTGGCAACATCCTAGAATAGAAAAAGAAGATTTTTAATTCTTCCTTATTGTGTATTCACATTAGTTTAAATAATATGTCAAAGCTCAATAAAAATAAAATAAGAATACAAAAGAAGGCTAAAACAAATATTTTTAATATAAATAGTTAAATCATACATACACAAACGTTTCGTATCCGATCGGGTCATTTTCAATAGTATAACAAAAAATCGATTATAAAATTCCTTAGCACGAAATTAAAATATGTACAAACTTTAATCTGAAGCTAGCACAGCCATGGATTTTAATGAATGGGCTGGAGTAAAAATGAAACATTTAGCAATAAAAAATAGTTAAATTATGTATAATACACTTTTTGCATATAGATATGTTTTTATATTCTATTTTGATACTTAAAACAAATAAATATTTCGAGATAACATTATTTGTAAGATTTAACAAGATTTTAAACATTTTTATAACAAATTTACGCAATAAAAATATCATTATAAGACAGTGCTCGGAATTAGTTGTCCATTTCGGGCAGATTCCTGAGGCGAACCCCATTACCTCGAGACTCGGCGGCCGAGTCCACATGATGCTGTGCCCTAGGAGGATCGCGATACAAAAAGTATGCTGGGAGCATATCTCCCGGCAAATATCATTAAAATATTTTCTTTCCTACATGATTTTTATTTTAATATAAATTTTTTATTATTAATATTATATGTATATTCTATAATAATATAATAAGGAGTAATATAGTAAGCAATTATTATAATACTGTAATTACGTCGTAATTACAATATTATAATAATTTCGCGCACGCACGCACGCACGCATGCATGCACATGTGTAAAATTGTCATTAATATATAAAATTATCTCTCTTTGGTAACAGAAAGGTTATGGATGTCTTCCAACACAAGCAACTCATTGTCAGTTTAACAAGTGTTCATCACATCCTTGTTTAACATTAGCGAACAACAAGGATATAATGATATCATGATTGTGTCACATCGTGTCATGTGGCTCATGTTGGAAGGCATTCTATAAAGTCAGAGTAGCATCTTTATGTCATTCGTGAAAATATCACTTTTATTTATCATAAAAGTGATACGGTTAAATGTCACAACGTGCATTATTTAACACAATGTAAATTGTGCTTTGACTAGTTATAAATAAATGTCAGAAGCGTTCATCATGGGCTGACTATTTTTAATTTACTGCCAGAGATATTAATTATGGACTGACTATTTTTAATATACTGCCAGAAGCGCGTTTTGATTTGGTGAAATACGATGCTTGCGGAACCAATTCATGGAATTTTGCGACTGTAATTGCAGAATGTGGATGCATTGTCATGGAATTAAAAGTTGGTTGCTTCACATGATCGAAATAAAGAAACTAATGAACACATCTATCTGAAATTTTAACAGTAACCCTGACTTTAAAGTTTGAAGAATCAAACTTTTCTAAAATTATAGCAGTTTGAGATCATTTCTGTATTAAGCCGAGAACTTTTCGAACTTATATCCTGGTATAAGTCAACATACAAATAATAATTTCTGTATTAGATTCTACAATAAAAATAGTATGTTTTATTTATAAAAAATGGATATGACCTTGATCTGACCTTGGAGAAGTCACTCAAGTCAAACTGAGTATCACTAAATAGCTTTTTTGAAACTTTACAACTTTTGTCTGAAACGTTTCTTCCAAAATGTATTCTCTTGAATAAGGGCTTTAGCACAAGGATAGCCATAACTGAATCATAGAACGTGAATTACAATTATAGGTCAACGCAGTATATTTTAGCGTACTATGTACGCCGATATAACTACAACTGATATAATAAACTATTCCACAATTTTCACATCAGCTCTAGCTATCTTTATGTTCCGCTAATAAATCCGGAATCCTCGCCTTTTTTGGAAACCTGATAATACAATATATGTTATACATATATATATGTGTTATACATATATATGATATGTATTACATAGTACCATTAGTCATACGCATAATTTTCATACGACGCTGTGCATCTGTGTATATCACATTCAAAGTATTTTAATAAATGTTTACACTTATTGATAATGTATACATGCATTACTACAGCAAGCTACAGTATATAAGTGTATATTTTTACTAAGTGAACACTCTGATTGTGATATAAATGTATCTTCGGATGCAAAAGTCCTTCAATGCCTGTGTGCATATTCCAGGCCAAACATGACGAGCATATCACTCCTTGTATAAGAGGCTGAAGGTGATATCAGATTCTATTATAAAAACCTTTTATGTAAAAACCCATGAGGTGATACAAAATAATTTTTATGTTTTGTTTATAAAAGATCATGAAATAGCGCATATAAATGATGTTTATCGTAAAAATAGCCATTATTAAAATTTTCATATTTTTATTCCAAAATTCTTTTTGACCAAAATTCGAAAACTTCAACCGTATTGCGGAGATAAAAGATATTATCCGATCGGACTGAAATTTTAACCTTTTCTTGTTGACGTCAATACACAACTTTGGAGATCTCTTACGTTCCGATCAGACGACTTTCACTTTTTTCGCTCCTCCCTATTAACCATACTTTTCTAATTTATAACGATTTTGACGCCAGGCGACGTCGGACAAAAATGATGGCGGCGGCGGCGGCGTTCAAAAAAATATCGATTAACATTTAAAAACAAATTAAAAAAAACATCGATTAATTGATTAATCAATCAATTAATCTCTTTTTTCTGACTAGCTAACCATACCGATCTACAGAAGTGCTCTGTACCATAGAAAGACCCCGTACTACAAAAGAGTCTGTGCTACAGAAGGGTATAGTCTACAAAAGGACTCACCGAAAAGCCTGGCCTACAAAAGGAATCTATATCACAGAAAGGCCTTTCACCACAGAAGAGTATGTTATACTTGTATATAGAGAGTGTCATTACAGTACGGCATCACCCATCCTGAACAAGTAGAGCAGATTTAGGTGCAGGTAGAATAGGCTAAATTGAGTGTCGAAAAGTCCTCTACGATTTTATGATTTTCGCAATGGTTAACGAAATATTAATCATTAAAAATTGATAAATATTGATTTTCAATAATTTTTTACTCAAATACTATCAGCTTTATAGAGAAATTATAAAATGATAGAACTTTCAACTCAGTTCTACCTGCACAGGTGATGCTATATTTCTATGACATCCTTTATATATAACAAAATATATTATTCCAATGATTCACATGGAGAACTTTATTTTTTCGTAATATATTTACAAATAATTTCTATCATAATAAATATTATTCAATTCGATCAGAGGACAATCTATAATTGCAGATAATAAAAAACAATGCCACTAGACATAAAAAACCAGGCATGTTCAAAATAATTACATTTGAAGTTAGTACTTTTAATATATGTTCCTGCTAAACAGTACATTTTCAATTATAGCCCAAAAACTAAAGGACTATAGATAAATATAATATTAATCTCATGAATAGAAGAAAATGGGGGGTAACCAAGCAAACATTAATTATAAAATCTTAAAAAGTTATTTTACTACTTCAATAATATCTATTTCGCTCATAAACTCATTCTCCAATACCGGCGCACAATAAAAATTACTGTTTAAAAATTGCGATCTGCAGCAATTTTTGAACAGTAATTTTTTTTCTCCACCGAACGGCGCCCTCATGCCCTAGTGCTTCGTGCAATTACCTAAGTCGCTCACCCCACAAGCTGCTCTTGTGCGATGCAATCATCAAAAAGTCATTAATAAAAAAGTTTTAATAATTAATATCTTATTTCTCTGCTACATACAATGTTGAAAACTATTTCAAACCTCCTTGCATAATGATTTTACATGCAAAACGAAGCTTGAAAAACGATGCGAATCGAAAAGTCCTCTACCATTTTCTAAATTTCTCCAATAGTTAATGAGATCCTTAAAAATAGCCGAATACGCGCGCCCTGCTGGCCTACTACTGCGAAGTGTATACGTGCCCCCACCGCGAGCCTCGGACTACGCGCTTGCCAGGCTATCCCCACTCCCCACTATCTGCGCGCCAAGCGATCGGTAGGCGTATACACTTCGCAGTAGTAGGCCGAGAGGGCGCACGTATTCGGTTATCTTTAAGGATTAATATCTCATTAACTATTGGGGAAATTTACAAAATGGTACAGAGCTTTTTGACTCAGTCCACTCTACCTGCCTATGAAATATTTAGTAATGATTATTTCCAGACACCCTGTATAAGAAAATTATCATTACCCTTACCCAAGCAGAACAACAAATCGTTATGATATCAAAATGACTTCAAAATGATCATTAAAAGTTATTTTTCAATCATTTTTGAATGATTTTAATATCATTTTTACATTATCGTGACTTATTGTTCTACTTGGATATGTACAAGTCTCTCTATTTAGCGAGAGGCTTGTACAGTGTGCACTTAGCACCGCGGATCAGCATCCCCGATCGGCTGCCTCCACCAGCAAGTGCTGACGGCCCCGACTGCGGGGCACAATCCACAGTGAGCCTCCCTACCACGTCAAGGTGTCACACTGGGAGAGGTTAGACTATAACGGTCAAAGCTACGGTCCAGCTTCGACCGTTATAGGCATTTAACATCTAGTAAGGGAGGGTGATGTTGATTATAACAAGAAAAAGATTTTTGCAGCTAATCAGTTTATTATAAATCACAGAAAATTTTGATTATATGCGAAAACTAGGGGCTTCTTTAGGGATGATGTATAACATAATAAATGGACTTCCGTTTCCGATGCAGAGTTAGAGACACGCGGATGAGTGAGTTAAATTTTTCTTGGAATGATCTGCAGGGATATAAAGGAGTAGTTGGGGGGAGCATGTGTAAGTGTGAGAGAAAGTGAGAGTGAGTGGAGGGACAGACAAAGGACAAAAGGGAGAGGAACAGTTAGGACTAGATGACAGCTGAGTTAGGATAGGAAAAGGTAGCATAAGTAGGGAAGCAAGTAAGACGCACGGAAGGCACAGCTAACACCATGCGCGGAGGTAGGTAATTCTGGGGAAATAGGTGACGCTGAGCTAAGAAGCGGACAAGTGTAGGAGTCTGGATAGAATGGAAAAAAAAGAGAGAAAAGGAATAAAGAAGTTGTTTGAGAGAAAGAAAGGGAGAAAGAGAGACGTGATAGTATAGGTAATGTGGAGGATAAAGAAGATGAGGGAGGGAGATGGAGATAGGCGAGGAAAAAAATTAAGAGACGTGGTAGCATGAGATGCGAAAGAGATGTAAAAAAGAAAGAGAGGGGAACTGAAGAAGAGCGAGGGAACAGAAGAAGAGATTTTTAAAAGTAGACTAACGGAAAGGTCAGGAAGATTGAAACTGAAGTGCAGAGGAGTGGAGAAAAGAAATAGAGAATAGATTTGATAGTCTCGAGACCTGGATGGAATAGTTTAGGAAGAGTTACAGAAAACAAGAAAATAGACTTTCAAAGTTGATAGAGGGAATAAGGAAGGAATAGAATAAGGGAAACGGAAGTCCCAGAGAGAGAGAGAGAGAGAGAGAGAGGGGGGGGGAGGGAGAGAGCTATATATTATACATATATTGTATTAATACTATATTAATACTTACATTAATACTAATTCTTAGATGCTAACTTAACCGCATTAATAGCCGCGGCCGCCACTGCCGAAACGGCCGCCACTACTATCAATATTATCGGATAACAGTGACACTGACTGCCAAACAATGCCACTGCCTGTCCATCACCAAATCTCTTTTATCATGGAAAATATATTTTTTCCTTTATTCTAAACATGGTGTTTATGAAATAAATGAAATGGTGTTTGAGCGTTGTTGTCGTAATCAGAATAATTATTATAGTGAAACATAGGTTACATATAGGTTAACAAATACGTAGATTTTTTATGTAGTGCGATTGTAAATTATAAAAGAGCGTAACGATGAGGGGAGTCGCTAATTAATATATCTATCTATCAATGTATAAAAATATATCTATATAGAAAATATTTACCATAAAAGGTACCACCGCAACTTGTTACTATTTACATCACGGTGGTATTTACATCAACACTATGCTAATGAACATTAAGCAACATGAAAAAAAAACAGAAAAATAATAATCGTGAAGTCTTAAATATTGTAAGTAAAAATAACTACTGATCAAGTATTCAATTATTTGAATAATTACGATAAGAGAAAAATTGGTTGTTAGCCTTTTGTCAATAAATAAAGTGATTACAGTCAGTGTTACAATTGACTCTGTTAGACCACTCTCCCCTACTGCACATTTTTCCACGTTACCCTGGAGGTAGTGTGCAATAACGCGTTTTTTTTACAGTGGTATCCCCAGTAGGCCTATTCCACTATTGTGTCTTTTTTCTATTTGTATAGCTGACGAGTATAATATAAATTTGATTCAATTTTTCCTTGGAAGCTTATACCACATTAGGAGACATAAAAAAAGGACCGACAGCACTATCTCGGACTGAGTAATAGCATCTCATATCGACGTTGACCCACATCTTGGACTGGGATTTACAATATAGCGGCTCTCTACGCGAGCTTATACTATAATTTCAAGTGTACACGCATTAACACGTCAAAAAACTCTGGCATGCAGGGTGATGTTGGGCGACGACGATAATGACGACGTCACCGGGTGACAACACAATGACAACGCATAACGACAACAATGCCAGACGACGACGACGACGACGACGCCGGGCCAAATTTTGCAACCGCACTCACGAGCATGGTGCAAACTTCGTCGCATGTTCGTTATCATAATTCTTTCCGATTTTCTTCCATAATTGCAATTCTCTATTCGGAATCGACAATACACACACACACACACATACACACACACGCGCGCGCGTGCGCACACACACATAATATAATCAGACAAATTCCAATTATTTTTACACTTATTATAATATCGAATATTGGGCGCCAGGAACGAGGGAGCGTGCCACTCTTCCTCGGAATTTGCTCGAAGATTTTATTTGATTTACAAAGATCTCTACAAGATCACGAATGCAGACGGGTAAAATAATCTCTCTCTATGTGTTTGCATGACACGTTTTATTTATCGCTCCGTCTTTAAGATTATTTTTCTGCTGGTTGCTGCCCTGTACAGGCGTCTTTTTGGACTGCGGTCGAGATTGTCGAGAGCAGTGTCTGCTTAACATTCTGTATGCAAGTCTTCGATTACTGTAATCTTATGGCTCTGGTATGAAATTTTCCTGCTCTGTTTTTCTGCTAATTGCTGATGGTTTCTGGGGAATGCCTGCTTGCTTTGCTATCTGATTGCGCATGCGTAACTGAGCTTGTGGAACCTAGCCGAATTGAGCGGATGACTCCTGCATTACCGATGGAGGGCAGCAGCGGAAGTGATTTTGCGAGACCGAGGCTTGGGCAAGCAACCTAATTCATCTAATATTTTGGCGGAAAGAATTTTATTTGAATCAATTAACATCTCTAGAATAAATGCACTTAGAGTGTCAATTGATAGGCAATGTGAGCTGTCTAGTAAGATCATTCTAATAAGATCTAAGAAGATTCTAACAAGATGACAGTTGAGAGAAGGGGTCAGATGGATACTACGTTACGTGCCTGTAGGGATGCTTTCCTAGAAGTGTCTATAGTCCTTTATTAGATGAGAGATCAAGCGAACGTAGATAATATTAAAAATATTGTTCAAGAAGCTGTAGTTGAGCATGATAAACGTGGCCCAATCAAGTTAACGATAACAATAATTCTTTAATTTAAATTAAAGATGTCATCGTATGTATCTATAAAATCGCTCTCATCAAAGGTATCTCGAGGTTCGATCTTAGAAGTGCCTACCTTCACTAACTTCTTTGTAGTACCTGAAAAGAATCATGCGGATAGACTTACATGCGATCATCATATGACATCAAGAAGATTGTACTTGACGTACTTAGGCCAGCGTAATGTTCCGTCAAGGTCAATAAAATTGCATATGCTCCATACAAGGGTATCAGAATTGAGGCAAACAAATCCGATCTGGCAAAATTGAAGTATTATACGGAATTAGCGAACATTGGCTTAAGGTATTGGAGAACATTAAAGTAAATTCTCGGATTATTGTACATGATCCGCCGAAATGAGAACTAGACGAAATCAACCAAAATTCTTGCTCAAAATCTCAAGGCAGTTGCGGACTCTAATTTGAAGGCCATATACATATATGTATATGCCGAAGAGTAATGGGAGGGTTACAAGCTGTGTCTTGGAGATATCGCTTATAATCCGAAAAATTTTAATAAAGAATGATCGAATATATCTACGATATATTGCGTGTAAATTTGCAGATTATATATGCATATTACAGTATTATAGATGTCTTGTTTTTGTGTATGTGTGTGTGTATGGGTCATATGGCTAAGGACTGCAGAGTTATGCCTTTATATGGCCATTGATCTAGTGAACATGAGATGAAAGATTGTACTAAGAAGAGGATCCGCCAAGATGCGGTAATTGTGCACACAGTAAAATCAACAGAGAGACCCATCGTCAAATGATTGACACCAGATGACGCCGGGCGGCGGCGGTATCCTAAAAAACATAGTTAACTAAATTAAAAAAAGAAAAGTCAACTAAGTTAGAAAAAAGATCGATTGATTGATCAATCAATCAATCAATTTTCTTTTACATGTAGCTAACCACTTTACATACTTTACTAACTTACAATGTGATGACGACGATGACGTCAGGCGACGCCGGGCGAAAACAACGACGCCAGGCGGCGACGGCGGCGGCGGCGATGGTATCCTAAGTTAAAAAAACATAGTTAACTAAGTTAGAAAAGAGATCGATTGATTGATCAATCAATCAATCAATCAAAATTTTTCTACTAGCTAACCAAACTTTTCCAACTTACGACGATGACAACGATAATGACACTAGGCGATGCCGGGCGAAGACAACGACGCCGGGCGGCGGCGGTGGTGGTGGCGGCAGCAGTGGCGACGGCGGCGGTCGCATACTAAGTTGAAAAAATATTGATTAAATAATCTAGAAAAGAGATCGATAAATCAATCAATCAATCAATCAATTTTTTTTTTTATCAAGATCAAGAAATTTAAGAAATCTTGTCTTGATTTTGTCTTGAATCAAGACAAAACCAAAACAAGAAATTAGAAATTGATTTCAAGATAAGACAAAAAATTGTTATTAAGACCAAGATTTCTTGACAATAAATGAAATTTCTTGAAATTTCTTGAATTTCCGTGACAGTTTTTATTTTTAATACTTTATTATTTTATTTCTAATTTGAAAAGTTTTGAATATGTTAGGTTTCAACATTTTTGTATTTATTGATATTAATAACAGGTTATATAACAGGTTATAGTAATCTATATTCATACATTTTCACTAAATAGCAAAATATGAGCAGAGTGTAAATCGATTAATGAAAAAGTGAAGTCCCTGATCTAACCAAATTAAATTATATTCACTGATACGTCCTTGTTGTACCAGATATTAACTTTTACATTTTTGTAAAGGAATATGTATAAAATCAATATTGCTTGAGATTACTTGCAAAAGTATATTATGTATAAATATTTACGTATTTCTACTAATAGTATCAATTAAATCAGGAATGATTAAATAAAATATGTAGTAATTATAATAATTATATCTAATCTCAGGAATCTAATAATCTGAAATAGTTACATTTGGCAGTAACCTCATAATATCAAAAATGATAATTTGAAAAATATTTTTAATTTTTATTAATAGATTTGTTCATAATAGACAGTATAGGCACATTTTTAAACCATGAATTTAAACATAGTAAACTACGAGACGACTCAATATTCAATTTGTACTTATGTTTTCTTATTATCTCTTACGATGCGATGTACTCAACGAGCCACAAGGGTCTTGCTTAAAAAAATCAAGAAATTTCAAGAAATTCAAGATTCTTAAATTCAAGACAAGAAAAACAAAATTTCTTATCTTGAAAATCAAGATAAGACAAGAAATGCTTTTTAAGACAAGAAATGCTCTTTAAGACAAGAAATGCTCTTTAAGACAAGAAATGCTCTTTAAGACAAGAAATCTTGTCTTAATGAAACACTATTCTTTTTCACGCAGCTAATCATATTTTTTCAACTTACGACGATGACAATGATGATGTCGCCAGGCGACGCCGGGCAAAGACGACGAAGCCGAGCGGCGACGGCGTCGGCGGCGGCGGCGGCGGCGACATGTTCCTAAGTTGGAAAAATATCCATTAATTATGAAAAGAGATGTGATATATACAAATACGTCATTTTAAGGACAAAGGTTTGTTCTGGGACACCTTGTCTATTATTTTTATATTTTAATTTATAATGTAAATAGTGTCAAGATAATATATTCACAGAAGTGCAATTAATGCGACCTTTCGGTATAATCATAGTAGTAATATATTTTTCTGGAGATGTTAAATTTGAAATGATGGAACAATGTCCAGTCCATAAATCGATAAGAAGAACGCTATTAAAATCAATGTTTGAAAAATAAGTTTCTTCTAACCACATTTTAAAATAATCTATAAGAAATATAAAAAATATAATTAATTTAATAACTTTTTTATGACTGTTATTAGATTCTTAAATGAAATATAAAATATAAGGACAATTGATGTATCAGAGATTGCAAATTTTTTATATTATTTCGTTTATACAAATTTATATTACTTTTCAATTATACACAGTAACACAGGTAACAGTAAAAATCTGTAATATGAAAATCTGTAATAAAAGAAAATTAATTTAATTATCTGATGTCATTTTAGATTTTGATGCTTTTACGATAACATTTATTGGTTTAAACAAGTTTCTTGTATTCTTAGTCTAAATAAATCATATTAACTTCCTTTAGTACAATAAATAAAGATGATGACAAATTTCTATTACACGATATTGTTGATTGTATATGAGTATGTTATTAAGGATATAGATTACACGATAATGTAATTATCGTGTAATCTATATCCTCAATATATTCTTCTAAATCTATTTTGCACTGGTTTTAAAGGACGGTTTTTTTGTTTTTATTTTCTTCATTAATATCCCAATTCCGCTAATACTTGCTCAACCGTCTCGTCTTTTGTAAGAACTGTCAAAGTCTGCGTCATCATTTAAACATTGAGGATAAGAATTTAAATCTTCACTCTATGCTTTATCGTTATCTTCAATTATTTCGAAACTATGTATTGTAATTTATAAGATTCCTAATAATCAAGATATGTTTCTTTTGTTACTTCCAATCCACTATAATAAAAAGCGCTATCCAACAATGATTTTTGTATGTTCTCTTTTAATTCAACTTTTGCTTCAGTTATTGGTGTGTTTTTTGTTTTAAGAGAAGAAAAATCTTCTCAAGCCTAGTCAACCGGCAACGATCCAAAAGTCGTCCCTGGATAGCTAGGAAGACACTCATGTTCCGAACATGGGTAAATAGGATTCGATGCAGCCGCTCCATCCCAAGAGGCGGTACAGATCACATCGCTATCTGCTAAAAAACTCTTCTTAAGACAACTGCCGTCCGAGCCTACTGAGGACGCCACGGAATCAACGACAGGTACTACATCATGGTACTTTCCAAGGATCATGGAATCTAACTCCCTCCATCTAACTCGGACACCACACAATAATAAATAATTCATCCCAAATAATAATAAATCATTCAAATTAATTCATCCCAAATAATAATAAATCATTCAAATTAACCCATCCATACTTGATCCACGGAGAAAACAGGGACATCGGACTTCTACTCAAAGTACTTCCCATGCTTCCATCAGGGCCCGTCCTCGTCGGAGTCAAAAACTTACAACGCACATACATACAATACATAAAGATGTATACAAGCATGTACACACGTGTTCATTAAATGGGTGCGGCAGGTACCGAAAGAGTCTGCCAGAGAACCAAGTGGCAATCTTCACCCTGGGATTGTTCATTTGCTTCCTTGCGAGTCATTACTGCCTCGCAGAAGAACGCGAAGACCGTTTAATTCCGAAGAGAGAGCATAATGGCTCTTACTATCGCCAAATACGTCCTATCCATAATTGGGTCCAAGCCCATTTCCCCAAACAGCATACACCTCTTCTCCGCCCACGAAGGGCAAAAGAGGAGGGTACGCCGTGTCCAAAAAAGCACCACAATATAAACATACAAGAAAACTCGTCCTATCTATCTCATAGAGATATGCCTGAAAGCAGCCACGACCAGGACTTACATCACCCTGAATGAAAGGACATATCCTCTCTCTAGCCACGCGTCTAAAGACTATTGCATCTCACACCACAACTCCGGGCGCGTCCAGGGGAAATCCCAAAAGATATTCGTGCCATAATAACACATTGCTCTACGTCATGAAGGATGGCCTGAGCGCGAGGAGCGACCACGCTATCTCGTCTCAAAATTTCCCGTTGTCGTAAATATGTACAACAGTAACACGCAACATATCTAAACGGTACTAGTCTCACAAGTATGGCCGCCGTCTCGTGCGAAACAGTACGATAGGCACAAATAATGCGTAATGCAAATTGCTGCTGCAACTTTATCACATCCCGGCAGATCATTCTATTTTTTACCGCCACTTGGGTCCATACTAGAGCATCGTACATGACCATAGAACCGACGCCGGATCCGCCGATATTTGCAGTAATTCTAAAGCTATGGCCATCCTGTACGCTTTTGGTAGAAGACGAAAGTATTTCCGGAAAATCCACCGCGAGTCCAAAACAAGTCCCAGATACTTCATGGTAGACCCCACAGGAACCACGGCTTCCCTCCCTACCTGAAGAGATGTGTGAGGCATGGCTCTTCAGCCATGAAGGCCACAACCTCCATCTTATTGACAGGGACTCTCAGACCCAACTTCTCAATCGCCCTTACAAGAAAGGTCATCACTCCCAGCTCCGTACGCACGAGTGCCTTCCTAAAGGAGAACCCATATGTGACCAAAAGGGTATCATCTGCGAAACATAATGTGTTATATCCTATAGGGAGAGTAAGACTAAGTATCGAGTCGTAGCTAACATTCCATAGAGTCGAACCCACAGGACACGTATTAGTCTATTCTCGCGATCGACATACACCAGGCTCCTATCCGACAAATAGTTGTTTTCAGAATATCGAAGGCACTCCGTAACACTTTCGTTCTCAGTATGTCTCTGATGACTAGCCATGGAAGGGAGTTGAAGGCATTGGCGATGTCAAGAGACACAGTCAGTACCACACCCCCATCCCGCACACCGTCCTCCACCCATTCTCTGAGCCGCCAAATGGCATCCACATGTATAACGGTAGACTCTATAAAGTCATATTGGTAGTTCGAAATGCTCCTGGCGGAATCCAGAAATCACATAAATCCGCCCACCAGCACCCTCTCTCTAAGAGCTTGCCAGACTCATTGAGAAGACAGATGGGCCTATATGATGGAGGAGCTAATTCTTCCCCGGCTTCTTCAGGAGGACAAGTCTCGCAGACTTCTACTCAACAGGGAAGCACCCTCTCCCCCTCTCCATAATTAAAGATTCACTTTTTCGAAAGCTGTGAACCCCATGTGTACTTGGGGATTTTCGGAGTCGCTAATTACGAATCTGTAATATTTTCAAAATTTAAAATAAAATAAATTTAAAATAAACATCTCGCTTCGCGTGTAAAGTCGTATACTGCGGCTTTATTATAAAACTTTAATTTACTATATCTTCTATATCAATGCCTCCATTCAATTTTTGCAAGAAATCACTCAGGACATTCTCCTCTATAACATATTGCGATAATTTGTATTGCTAAAGTAAATACAATGAAAAACAAAACAAAAACTAATAAATCGTGGCTTCTTCAGAAATATACCCTTAAAAGGAACGCATTACAATTCCTCATATAAATATTCTGAGTAATGTAGAGTATGTATGTATGCGTTTATATTATATTTAATATTTTTATCGCGTAAATAAATTTTGTAAAAATTTCCCATAATGAATAAATGAAAAATATTCTGAGATTTGTTAATTTTCTAAGAAATATTGAAAAATTTGATTTTTTATATTTTTCAGAATTCCTCTTAAATGTAGAGATTATATAAATTCTTAAAATTAACAAGATTTCTAAAAAATGTTTTTACCACAGCTGAATGTCCTTCATTTCGTCAATCTCAGTTTCTTTAATTTCCTCCACGCTGGATTTTTTCCAGTTCGTTGCCGTCTTCGATTTCTTCTGGATTATCCTCTGGATTATCCTCTGGATTATTCTCTGGGTTGTTCTCTGAGTTATCCTCCGGATTATACTCTGCGTTGTCTTCTGGGTTATTCTCTAGGAATTCTACAGTTTCTTATAGATCATATTTGAGTGTTTTTTTTCTAGCTAAACTGACTGCATTAGTTCAGAGTTTATCTTTTTCTTTCCATATTGAAAGAAAAAAGAAATTCTTAACTCTTTCTTTAATACAAATAATAAAAAAGATTCTTTAATTTCTTGTCGTCGTTTTCTGTTGTAACGTCACATTTTCTAGTTTTAAGACTCCTCAGAGCTTTTTCCAGGGCTTCATAAAATTCAACGTTGTTGGGGGTGGGAAAGTACTTATTTGAGTAGATGGCATCTAAAAAAATCGACAAAAAATATGTTAGTTATCATGTTTTTAATGATTGTTTACATTCACTTTTAATCAATTTTAATAACATCCATTGTTTCAAGTCTGATAATGATAGCCGTTCCATTTTTTTAGAAGCTGGATAATTAGAAGTTATAATTAGTCAATCTCAGAATGTTAGAAAATTCGAATAAGTTTTATGTATACGTAATCAAATATAAAATATAATCCAGGGATGGAACCATTAGTTTTACCATTATTTTCTATAATAATTATTTGACACACACACACACACACACACACACACACACACACACACACACACACACACACACACGCACACACGCACACACACATCTTTCTTTTGTATAACACAACATTGTCACTCGTGATCAATAAATTAGTATTTGGTTTTCATAATCCTCGCATTTATTTTCGAGAACACTCAGTTCTCCCAAACATTTGGCGCCCAATGTGAAGCTGCGAGTGGAAAAAGCAATTGGAGATAGCAATCGTAACGGTTAAGCAACGAGCATTGTAAAATGCAATCTAACCTCAATATGGCGGATTTGAAGAGGCTGAAAGCCATACATGCCCAAATCAAGAATCAGGTAATAAAATTGAACAATTTCTTTACGTCCAATCGAAACATAACAGAACAGTAAGCACAAGCGCGTCTGGATAAGTTACAAGAGCTATGGTTAACGTTAAACAAAAATCATGTACATGCTTTCGAGGATACTTAAAGCATTGGTAGTCGGCTGCAAAAGTGTTAATATCCATTTTTAATTTTATTATTATATATATTTCGTTCTTTACAAAATATTTGTTATGCTTTGATTTGTATAATATTATATTGTGTAATATTTATACACTGAGAAGAAATTTACCGAATTTTTTAAACACTAACTTTTCGGAACAATGTCTTAAGGAAAGTACGATTTAAGGAGACTTTACGTCGTAATATCAATCAATTTCAACGAAATTTGTAGTGAGTGGTATTGATGTCAAGTGTTGCTGCAAGCAAATGGATATCCAGAAAACGATATCTTATAGATATCCCTCTTTAAAAATATCTTCAAGATATTTACAGAAGATATCTAAAAGATGTCTAAAAAAATGTCTAAAAAGATTTTATTAAAGATATCTTTGTAGAACTTTTAAAAGATATCTATTAGACATCTTAAAGATATATTAAAAAATTTTTTTAAATATTTGTAATGGATATTTACATATGTCTAATAGATATCTTTTAGAAATGTCTTAAAAGACATTTTAAGAGAGATCATTTAGATATCTTTAATATATATTGTCTATTACAAAATATATATATATATATATATATATATATATATATATACAATATATAGAGACATACATATGTGGGAATGCAGGATCATCTTGATTCTGTCGATATCGATTCTTGTATCGATAGATCCGTGCATCGACCAGTGCATCGATGGTGCTGAGAGCAGTGCTTGTGGCGCGCGAGTAGCATTAAGACACAGAGATGTAAAGAACGGCGAGTGATTTTTTTTATCTTTCGTGCGTGGGTGACTCAAGTTCGTGTACGCGATCCTACATTTGGGAGCTCATTTGAGATCGCGACTCAAATCGAAAATCGAGCAGTGCGAAAGAACAATTTATGACGCGGGATGACGAATCGAGTCGAAGAAATAAGAGATCGTAAAAACGGGAACGAGGCCACGGTAAACGTCACACAGGAAACGTCTCCTACAGTAACGTGTACGGCGACTAGGAAGATATTTGTCGGGCAAAGCGATCACAGACATCATGACGAACGAAGGAGCAATCAGAGAAGATAACACGAGGACTTGAGCAGCTAGATCTCAACGGCGATGTTACGAAAAAGGACGAAGGGCGATAATGGCGAGGACAACGCGAAAGGAGAATTAAACGTAGCGATGTCGAAAGTAGAACTACAGAAGCAGCTATCTAATTTAGGGCTACCAACATCCAGTCTTAAAGCTACTTTACGCGAAAGATTACGCGCTGCATTAGAGGCAGACGCAAATGATGCGGACGAAATCGATAGTGCATACGAGATGGCGAATAAGACGATCGATGGAAGATCAATGGCGGTGACAACGCGCGATCACGCTGGCGATCTCCCACGATGATCGAGTGACCTTCAAAGTAAGTCATGAACGTGAGGTGCGTACAGGAGTCTAACCTTCAAAGATGTTGAGGAGTCATTAGGAACGTTTAGCGGCGATAGCGCTCAAAATATGCAACGATGGTTGGTATCATTCGAAGAAACGGCAGACATGTGCAAGTGAATGGATGCACAAAAGGTGATATATGCTAAAAGGGAATTGCGCGGATCTGCAAAACTATTTGCAAATTCCGAGTGTCACTTACTAACATGAAGGAATTTGAAGAGTGCTTTAATAGAAGAGTTTGCCAAAACGATGAACAGCAGGCAAGTGCATAAGGAGCGCTGTCAAAAAGAAATCGAATGAATCATACCAAGAGTATATTTACCGAGTATTAGAATTGGCGAGTTATGCGAATATCGAATTGGAAGCCAAGATTCAATATATAATTGATGGAGTGAACGACGAAGAATCTTATAAATCTATCTTCTACAGTGTGACGACAATTAAGGATCTGCGACAACGTTTCCTGTAATATGAGATGCAGAAAATTAATTGAGGTAAACTGAAGCAATAATTGAATATGGCCACTAAGAAGAAGATTGCAAATCAAACGCCGGTGAACATAACAAGATGTTTTAATTATAGTGACACAAGCGTTTAGGCAAGGACTATCCAAACAAGACGAAAGGACAAGTGCAATGAATTCGGACACATCGCAGCAAATTGTCTCAAAGATTTGACTCCAGGAAATAAAGATACTTCGGCGAAATGTAACGCAGTATGCTCGCAGAATGATAAGAAGACGTATAAGACCATGAGGAGATTTTGGGGAAAGTCATTATTGCAGTTATTGATCCTGGCAGCAACTAACACTTGACGTGCCAGCTGTTTATATATATAATATATATATATATAATATCCCATATATATATATAAACAGTATATAAGAACAGTATGTTTTATACGTAAGCCGATAAAAGCACACGAAAAAATATAAACGACTGATTTGAATTATGAACTTTATTAAATCGTTTGTAATTTTTCCGCATCACTCTGCAAGTTCAGACCTTCGATTTATTTTTTAATAAATATCATTTCTGATGTCATTCTTTTATGAAAGCATGATTCTATGTTTAACACCTGAACGTTATCCCAATTAATTTTGTGACCACAATCGATCTGATGCTGTGATAATACGGTCAGAGAATCTCGATATTGTTCCACATAGTTAACTATAACAGGTACTAAAAAAATTTTTTTATATTTACAACTCGAAACACGATCAGAAAACATTTAATTAACCAAAGAATATTGTAACTACTACTAATATTGTAACTACAGAATCTGGAAATTTTGCGCAATGCAACAACTAAATAGGAACATTTGGACTATCTGAATTATTGTAATAAAAAGACAATTATCTTTGGATAATTTTAATCTGTTCGGACTAACATCAATTACGTGCTAATTTTAAAAATAAATTATTAAATAACGAGCGGTTTTACGTTACAAGTAGACATGTCATAAAACTATACACGTAGACGAATTTTTTGGAGTAAATATTTGTAATTATTATGTTATTACTGAAGATGGCCTAATGTAAGACCGAAACGTTTATGTACTTAATTATGTGAAATTAGATTATAATGTTGTGTAATCAAATATAATCAATCGCTAACGATTCCTGGCATTCATGGTTTATATTCTTTATCTTTTCGTTTTTAAATATCAGATACTTCGAAAGTATCTTTAGATACATTTAAGATACTCTTAAATTAATTTTATTGTAATAATGGTAATGTAAAAAAATGTATTAGTTAAACGAATCATTTATTTATTTTTCTTACATTTTTATAGATAACAGGAAAAACTTATCGTAAAACGATGTAGGATAAAATGCTTCATTTCACTTATTATAAAATAAAAATAAATAAAAAATATATAAAAAAAACTATAGAAATTAAAACAAAAAAAAATGAAATAAATAATATGATATTGAAATGATTTGGAGATATATCGCCTTCATTTCTGTAAAACAAAAAGCATTACATTAGCATGCAATGTATAAAAGAAATTCACATAATATAAATATATGATACTTACTTAGGCGCCTTACGCTCAAAATTTTCCATCGTTGTTTTTGACGCACCAATCCGCTAATGGCAACGAATAAAAAAAAAAGGAATTTCCATCAATTTGCATAATACAGGAATATGAATGCAACAAATTTAATATTTTCTTTTGTAATAATATATTTGACATTTAATATGACATACTGTTATATTTTCTGGCTTTATTTTTTGAAAATATTCTGATTACGTCTTCAATTGTTAAGATGTCAAGTTCTATCATTGATTACATAATTAAAACTGTTCACCAATTCTTTTTCAATTGATATCATAGCTAAATTGCATAACCGCATCATTGTATTTTTTAGATAGTTCTTTATTATTTTTAATTTTGAAAAAAATGCCTCTGCAGTGCCACAGACATTGACAGTTAATAAGATCTGTAATGCTATTGCTAACGCTATTTAAAAAGATTTCCAGAAAATCACTTTTAGCTAATTCATTTAAAATATCAAATAAAGTAGAGCTTTATATTTACAAGAGTAAAAAGCGCTGCCTATTAAAATTTTGCGCCCTACACTAGAGCGTACCTATTCAGTGCTTCGCAACGCCTC